ACTATTTTCCAGGGAACACTGTTGGAACACTTTATTTTATTTATTTTTAGGTCTTGTCTATCCTGTTACCTATTTAATATTACCTTATTGTTAGGGCTGTTTTTGTTGTGCATCTGCACTTTATTGTTGTCAATGTCTACGCATGGGACAGTGTGATAGTAATTTCAATTCCTTTGTATGGCAAGTACATTTGAAGAAATTGACAAATAAAGTTTTCTATTCTATTCTATTCTATTCTACATTGCACACAGGTATATATATATATACCTGTGTGCAACGTTCCCGCTAAGCATGCGCACGTGCGCAATTGCGCACTGTTGGCACGGTCTCTGCGCAGAGAGCACACAAAAAAATTCTAACCTGAATTGAAATTAAAGTAAATATGTGCCGACACCAGTGTTTTAGCTAGCAAAGCAGCGTGGCTGATGTGGAGTGAAGCCACATTAATGACAACGTGTACAACATTTGGAGATGTGAGCAGGACAGACGGAAGAAGTAACGGAAAAACTGTGGACTTTATACCAGTTTTTAAATTGTGTTGCTCGGCCACGTAAAACCAGAGTTATGATAAAATATCTGCAATGTTTGGTTTTCTTCCTGAATACTGTCGTTGTTTATATTTACTGCGGGAAGAAACGGTAAAAACGACGTTTTATAAGGAAAACGCTCGAAAGCCTGTGAGCAAAGACGAAACCAAAACACCCCCACCCTTTCCCATTGGTCGAAAAATGTACCATGTCGACCAATCAAAACATGGCATTTAGTTGTTAAGAAACGGGAGGAAGTTTTAGGAGTGACGGCGGTGTTTTGAGATGTGAGAGATTTGCAACGTTTAGCACAAATCTTGTGTAGTTAGTGTGTAGTGTAGTCAGTAGTTGTGTTGTGTGTCAGAACAATGAGGCGACTGCTGAGTGTTACAGGTGTTACAGCAGTGATACATCTGCTGCTGTCAGGCCTGCAGGTATCAGGCTGTTGTTCTCCTTCATCTCATAGCGGACAGAAATTATTTTTTGGAGCGGCACAAATAATTTGTGTGACATCAGATTTGATGCAGAACAGCTGATTGTTCTGTAAATAGTTTGAAATGTTTATTTAAAAAACACCTTGGCTGCATTTTTAGGTAAACAGCTGCAAAAAACTTTGTTGTTTGCAAAACTCAGTAACTTTTTTGAAGAAGTAACTATATACTTAATTGCCCAGCATCGGTCATTATTTACTGTATTTTGCAGACAGAGTTATAGACTCTCTCAAGTCAAATACAAGTCAGAGCTTTATTTTAAAAAAGAAAAAAGAAGAAGAAAGTTGTGTTTTCAAAATTGGAGTTCAAGTTATTTTTACTTCCAGTAGTGTTAACATGCTGCAGGTCATGAACAAGATTTTTTTTTTTAATTTTCATTGTCAGTGGGCTGAAGCAGTTAATTAAAAGTAGTCTAACATAAATGTAAATGCTGTAATTTGATTATTTTAATAAACATGTAACTTGGATGGATTCGATGCTGGCGTGACCACAGTGCACACGTCTGCTGTTGCTCACAGTGGTTCAAGGGACGCTCAGGGAGTTTGTGTGTTCGCTCAGACACATGAAACATTAGAGGGAACATTGCCTGTGTGTATGTCTGTGTAGAATCTCTGTTGCATTTTTCTTCTATTAGCTGTTAGTTTCTCACTCGTCTGTGAATAGTGAACTTTCCTGAATGGTCTGTAGTTTACGCGCGTTCCCTGAATGCATCACTAAACCGAAAAATCAGGAAGCAGCGAGGAGCAGACATGGAGACGAATATTCGGTCCAACGGAGGGGAATAAATCCAACCTTATTCCGGAGTAGATGACTTGATTTAGATTAAAATGTTCGTGATCGCAGTTTTGCTCCTTGTGGGGACAGGACTGACAGTAAACAGCGGTGAGTTTACGTTTTACACACGTTCATGAGGCGGGTTCAAATCGAAAGTAAAATGATTAATGTCAGACGAGTTTATTTAACTAAAAGTTTTAATGTATTTATTTTTAGTGCACCTACATCAGTCCTGTTGTGTAAAAATTGTCCTGAAAGAAGTTTGATACTTTAATACTTCCTGGCGCATAGAAACAAAAAGTCAGATGTATTTATAAAATGAAACTGTTTCTAACGACTTAAACGCGGCGTTCTGACAAACCATCGTACTTTGGCAAAGCATTCTACTGTACGTAGTTTATGCACATGTCTGCTGTCACACAATAATTCCAGCATAAATTTAAGTAGGTAGAACAGTCTGCCACTTAACTTTGTGTTGTGCGCATGCGCAGCAACCAGGGGCGGATCTAGAGGAATTTTCTTCGGGTGGCATGAAAATGAAATGGGGTAGCAAAATCATTCTTTTCAGCACAACCTCACATGTCTGAATTTAGTTGATTTTTACTGACATACTGTATTAACACCACTGATCTGAAATCACACAAAAACATAAAATCCTTCTAGCAGCTATATTTTAGCTGTATAAACCACAGACATGTTTAGTAAATTGTTTTCATAACTTGAAATGCAAATATAAATTCTGCATTTTAAAAACGTATGCACAAACTTTGTAAACATATACAAGTATTCATCTAAATCCAGCCAATATATCTGGTGACAGTGGAGACAGTGTTTACACTGCAGTCTGCATTTGTGACGTTCATTAGTGCCCTCACTGACACACAAAACAAAACAACCACTACAAAACACACAAACTACACACTCCACGCTTAACGTCGCAAATCTCCCACATCTCAGAACTCACTCACTATCGATATCTCTCTCTCTTGTTGTTATGTCAGCTTAAATCAGTCATGTGATTTGGAGGTAGGCGTGTCCGCTGACCCCAAAGGGTTAATAACATTCATCTTCATTCCATTTCCAGAGTGTAACAGCCAACCACCTGTGTGAAATCTGAAATTCCCATGGTGTTGTTCGACATGTCCTCTGGCACAATCATAGGCATCGCTTGCCACTGAAAAGAAGAAACAAGTTGATCTGCACTATGTGCTGAACAATTTGTTAATGGTGGAGGGGGAAACACTCTGCAATATATTCAGTTTTGCTCAAAGTGTTAATGCTATCTCATGTTATCTCATGTTATCTCATGGCGCTGGCACAGCTGGCAGCCTTAACTCAATTTCCCTCAGGATGAATAAAGTATTATCAATCAATCAATCTTATAATAAACAACACTGTCATATGCAAAACTAGGGTTTACACAGCTACATAAATGTTGAGGTTATTCATTAGTTTCAGTCTTACTTTCTTGTTTAATTTGGCCGTTCTGTGTAAGAGAGAAGTTTTCAGAAGTTGATAGCGGATGTTTTTAAACGTAACCCTGATCACAGCTCTCTGCAGGGTTAAAGAGATCTGTGCAGAGGACAGCACCGTGCTCTGTCCTCACTAAATGACAAACAGATCATATCTGTGCTGCTGAGGAGCTGAGGAGCTCTCACTGCTTCTCAGGAGGTCTCTGTGTTTCTCTGTTCCTCCCTCATGGTTCAGGAATATTCTACATTTCTCTGTTTTAATGAACAAAGTCAAGTTACAGAAGAAACAGAAAAAGAAAGGTGATCAAAATTTATACTCTGTACTCCCTCCCAGCCTGGACTCCATTTACAAAACAGGGACACAAACATGTAAACATGTGAAACTGGAACTATTGAAAAAATTAAACATTTAAGAAAAAGTCTTGATGCATGCTCAATCATCCAGGTAAGTAAATCCCCAAAAGTTGATTCTGTTTATCTGGATGTTTTCAGTGGGAGTGACGAAACGTGTCTCCCACTGAAAACACTAAAGAAAATAGTTTGCTGATTTTTCCTTCCAGAGCAAATTCAGAGGACTTTGAAAACTGAAAGTAATTTAACTACTAACCAAATGAGAACAGGAAGTTTTCTGTCTGATGTTAAACTTCTGTAAAGTTTGTAGGTTTCAAACAGCTCGGTGACGTCTTCACACAAACCTCAGCTTTAGTTTGAACCCTTATTATCAGTGTATTTGGATGTTTACATTTCTAAGGTTCTAGCTGAGACTGAAATCACTGCATTACAGATTTAATCTTTAAAGAAAGACGTCTTTATGATGTTGGACACGGAGGTTTGGGTCCAAATCTGACACATTTCCTCCTGTGTGACTTTCAGAGACTCACTCCCTCACCTACATCTACACGGCGCTCTCCAAACCTGTCGGCCTCCCGGGCATCCGCGAGTTCACAGCCATGGGTTTGCTGGACGGCAGGATGATCGACTACTTTGACAGCGAGCATCAGGTGAAAGTTCCCAGACAGGAGTGGATGAGAGAGCGTTTACCTGCTGATTACTGGGAAAGAGGCACACAGTCCCGCAAGAGGAAGCAGCAGAGGTTCAAGGTCAACATCGGCATCCTGATGGAGCGAATGAGACAGAGTGACTCAGCCAGTAAGTTTTTGATGTTTTTAATGATTTGATAACTCAGGTAAAATCCATGAAATCTGAATGATCAGTAATCAGTAAGAAAGCATGAAATCAACAGCATAAAGCTGTCTGCACAGGAATGTTTCAACTTCAAGCTGTTCAACTCAGAAACAAATTATTCCTGCTTATTGGTTAAATTAAAAAGTTATGTTTTGATTCATGGTCTTCATCTTTTCTCCTCTGATGTTTATTTAAACATTTATTTATTTATTTCACCCTCCTGCTTCCAGACCTCCACGTTCTTCAGTGGATGCACGGCTGTGAGGGTCAGACGCAGCCCGACGGCACGCTCAGGTTTGTCCCAGGCATGAAAATGTACGCCTATGATGGAGACGACTTCCTGTCCTTCGATGATAAACATGGAGTCTGGGTCGCTGCGACTCCGGAGGCAGAACCCACCAAGAAGAAGTGGGACGGCATCCAGGTGCTGAGAGAGTACACCAAGGGATACCTGGAGAACGAGTGCATCATTTGGCTGAGCAAGTTCTTGAATTATGAACAACAGCAGCTTAAAACAGCCCGTATGTATGAGATTTAAATTCATTATTAGAATCTATAGTTTTCTATAGTTTCAGTAATAATAAATAACTGTACATAAATTCACGAAAGCCTTTTTTTTTTTCCATTTTTAGGTCAATGTGTGACAACATTAAAAAGCATCAATAATATTTGTATTTATTTCTGATAATTCAATTTTTTTTTTTACTTTTAAATTATGAGCTGTATGTAACGTCCTTTGTTTGGCAGAAATATCAGTTTTTGTGGAACCAAAATAAATGTTCACACATTTAACCAAATATTCCTTCAATAAATGTGTCACTTTAACATCTGCATGTTTGCAGCCTGTGTGATCCATGTGGACATGTTTGTAAAATGAGGTTTAAACTAGAAATCAGACTTTAACAGATCAGGTCTCA